CAACTCCCAGAATTCTATCTGTACTACCGGTACTTCTTGCATTTCATTTCCCTCTGCTTAGAACTCTTTCCCTCATGCCCGCTGCTACAGCCCCTGTCCCAACATATAATACTGCAGCCAGCAGCGTCTGGTGCCCAATGGAACTGGAGGAGCAGAAGACAGGGAGACCCAACAGTAGGCAGAACCAAAGCCAATGGCGGGTAGAGCCAGAACCAGTGACAAGCAGAGCTGCCCCCTAATTGGTTGTAAGTAAGAAGACAGACTGAAGTGGGCGGGGCATTCTCCACTGCCTGCAACTCAATAAAACACTTCACACGTGTTATGAACTGGAGTCAAGTCCATGAAAGTTTACGCCATAATAAAATGTGCTAGTTTTTAAGGTGCCACAAGATTTTTCCATTTTTTTAAAATAGTTCCCTACTGCAAAAGATCTGCAAAAGAAAAGGATGAACTGTGAGACTAGTAGTTTTAATAATAATAATAATAATAATAATAATAATAATAATAATAATAATAATGGAATCATTGTGTCTGTTTACCGTGTCTCTTATAATGGTCAGCCACTAAGAACCAAATTTGTTTCTGTCAGCATATGCCCTCCCCATGGTTCTCCTCCTTATTTCAAATCCTGGGTTACTCCTTTCATCAACTCCCATGACTGGATACTTCTGGAACTAGTTGATCGTTGGAATTTCTCTCATTGCCACTGGCTATCTCCGTTCCGGTTCACAAGAAAATCGAGGGAGTAAACAGTATGCATGAAACATTCCCGCAAGATGTTTCTTCATCTTTCAAGTCGTGGGGGTGACCAAAAGAAGTTATCTCATTTCTGGAAATAACGTTGTGTGAATTGGCAATGGATCTTGTGTGAACATCTCCTGGGAGACCAAATATTAGTATTATAAAAAACAATTCCAATGTGAGATACAGCTTTCACTTAATTATATTTTGACCTGGAATATCTTACTGGCACACTGAAGAGCCACTCTGAACACCCTGTGCCTCCTCCTTTTTTTTTAATCAATTACTGATCCCCCATGTCACAGACAGCTTTTTCATTGTCACTGTTCTACCAACTGTAGCCTTTCTCTCCCTTTACGGGTTAATATTTGGCAGCATTCCCACTATTTCTCTGTTACACTAGTCACCATTTTATGCTTAAGGGAGATTTTACTTTGTAAACCCTTCTCCTTTGTTTTTGTTGGCAGTGGGTGTTTAGCCATATGCTTTGCATACAGTGCCTGCCAAATGCCTAGATCTGAAGGCTGGTTAAGCTGAATAACATTTGTTGTGGAGTTCATTACTAGGAAGAGCAAGTGAATGATTGCACTTGTTGCTCTGGCCATCTGTCTGTCGTGCGCATGCCCAGTTCCCCATGCTGACAGGAACCATTAAGACCCATGAACTGGAATTGTTTATTATTATTATTATTATTTTATTATTATTATTAGTAAATGCAATACTCACAAACACAAAACAAAACACAAAACGAACTTATTATACCTACAACTCCTTAATTCCTGAAAAAGAAAACAATTAAACATACATTAACCAAAAGAAGTATCAACTTAAATTACAAAAGAAACTAAACATAAAAACAAAAATATTGACTTCCCTCCACCTATGTGTGACTTCCTTTACAGTATTTCTTTTCTTCTTTTCGCTGTGTTATCAATATTATTTTTAACTATCTCGTCTTATACCCATTTCTTCTTAGTCTTTTACTCTATAAATTTCATTCATTGCATATTGATATATTTATACCAGAACAATGTTTTTTTATGTATTCCTTCTTGCAAGTCCACTCTTCTATCAGTTTTTGAATTGGAATTGTAGATCAGCATAAGGCAACAGTATTGCATTGAAAATATTTCCATTCTGGGCTGGGGTTTCTAGCTTAGAGTTTCTAGCTTCCTATACAGTGGTACCTCAGGTTACATATGCTTCAGGTTACATACGCTTCAGGTTACAGACTCCGCTAACCCAGAAATAGTGCTTCAGGTTAAGAACTTTGCTTCAGGATGAGAACAGAAATCGTGCTCCGGCGGCGCGGCAGCAGCAGGAGGCCCCATTAGCTAAAGTGGTGCTTCAGGTTAAGAACAGTTTCAGGTTAAGTATGGACCTCCAGAACGAATTAAGTACTTAACCTGAGGTACCACTGTAATTGGAAACACAACCATCTAAAACTGTGATCCTCTCTACCCTTTTGCTGGGCCGTTGGATGCTCCCACTTGCAATATTTATTGATAAGTTCTTTCAAGTAAGAACTTTGAAGTAAAGTAAACACTGTGCAAAATAACATCCCTGTTTCATTTTTGTTTTGCGTTGTACGGCATGTAAATTAAGTGGGCAGACATTTCCTAGGCTTTTGAAAAGTCTAAGGCTTGGTAGCTGCCTAGCTCAGTGGGTTAGAGTATAGTGCTAACAAAACCAGGGTTACAGGTTCAACCCCTGGAAGGGACAGCTGCATATTCCTGCATTGCAGGGGTTTGGTGCAGATGATTCCCATGGTTCCTTCCAACTCTAGGATAACTTCCATGATAACTTGCATTGCTATCCAATGGGTGCCAGTCTATGGGACCAGGAGGCAAACTAGGGCAAGGGATAATAATAATAATAATAATAATAATAATAATAATAATAATAATAATAATATCTTTATTGTCATTACCCCCTCTCGGGGACAACGAAATTACTTGACTGCTCCATAAAAACCCTAATTAAAACAATACAGTATAATACAGCAAGGAAGATTAGATGACTTTCAAAGTCCAGGCTTCCCATTCAGGGCCGAGATCGCTCTAGAGAAGAAGCTGTTCTTAAGACGGCTCGTTCTTGTCTTCATCGTCCTGTATCTCTGTCCCGACGGCAGGAGCTCGAAGAGACAGTGACCAGGATGCGATGGATCTTTTACTATGTCCAGTGCCTTCCTATGGCACCTTGTGGCATAAATCTGCTCTAAGGTGGAGAGTGGGCAGCCAACAATGCTCTCTGCTGCCTTAACAACTCTGCACAACCCCATCCTGTCCTGGGTAGTACAGCTTCCGTACCACACACATAAGCCATAAGTGAGCACGCTCTCAATGGCACAGTGATAAAAGGCAAGCAGCAGTTTCTGCAGAAGATGGTTTTTCCTTAGAATTCTCAAAAAGTACAGTCTCTGCTGCGCCTTCTTCACAAGCCCCCTTGTGTTGACACTCCAGGACAGATCCTCTTGTAATTCAATGCCCAAAAATCTGAACGTTGTTACCCTCTCCACACAGACCCCATCAATCAAAAGTGGCTGGACATTGCTCTTCTGTCTCCTGAAGTCCACCACAAGCTCCTTTGTCTTCCTTGTATTTATGAGCAAGTTGTTAGCTCTGCACCACTCTGTCAGCCGCTCCACCTCATCTCTATAATCCGTTTCACCCTCCCTTTCAGGGATGAGCCCAATCATGGTTGTGTCATCTGCAAATTTGACAACCCTATTACTAGGGTGAGCAGCGACACAATCGTACGTGTAGAGAATATAAAGGAGCGGACTGAGTACGCATCCCTGTGGTGTTCCTGTGTTAGTCTTAAGAATGCGAGAATGATCATGCTTGCCCACCACTTTCTGTCCTGACCAACAGGTGTTGCAAAGTAAGAGCCTTTTTAAAAGTCTCCCTTAGTGATCCATTTGTCAGTAACTGAAATCAGAATGATTTGGGTTAGCACTCCCCCCCCCCCAGGTGTATTCCTCTTTATAGGATGAAATAGTGGACAAGGAGTAGACATTGTTTATAGATAAGATTAGAATGAAGGATTTTTGTGTGCTCCATTTTTATTTTGAAGAAGGACTATTTTTAGATCAAACTTGCATTGTATTTAAAAAATACCTACCACAGCTTGTTTACAAATACTGCTCAGAGGTGTCATAATAATTATTACCTATAATGTCCTGTGAATGCCCAAAGGGCTATGAAATAAGAAATACTAAAGGTTCTACTGCAGGTTCATGTAAACTGAAAAAAACTTGTCTCTCTTGTTGTTGTGTACAATCTTTTTCCCACCACTGCAGTTATATTGTTCAGAAGAAATCATAGTCAAGCAACTTTGGAAGAAAAAGCCTAAATTTTACTTCTTGAAACATTGGCATGAATTAAATTAAAATCCAAATGAGTTTTGGTAATGTTATTGCTTCAGCTGGAACATAACAAGAGCCCTGCTGGGTCAGGCCAACCCTGGCCCATTGAAGCCAAGATCTTGTTCTCACAGTGGCCAGTCAGGTGCCTATTGGAACTCAGTGAGGGGGACCTGATGGCTACAGCACTTTCCCAACTTGTGGTTTCCCGTGCCACTGACATTCAGGGGCATACTGAGCCTGACAGTGGGGGTAGAAGAAGCTGACATAACATTGCTGTAAAGGATTCATTAGAAATCTAGTATCTGGTATTGCTTTTCATCACCTCAAATATAATGGGGCAGATTGATACTATCCCACCGATCTAGCCCATTGTGTGGATTGTAGGATGAACTCACCTGCCCCCCTCTCTGGCATATCTGCCCCTCCTGCAGTGTCCCCACACAGGGGAAGCAACATGGCCAGGCATGTATGCCCAAACTTGTACCTAGGCTGTATTGAAACTTGCAATCTCTCTGTGGATGTGAGAGGACATCAAAGGAAGGTCATGTATTTGGGGAAAGCAGGTGTGTTCTCCATTCCATGGGCCAGTTTGGGCAAGAAGAATCATCCAATCCGTCCCAATATTTTTCAGTTGAAACTGTTTACATGTGTAGCTGAGTGGTGTTTTGCCCAGTGAGTTACATGCATGTGTGAGAAGCCTATCGTTTCTTCTAGGCAGGTAGAGAATCATCTATTCTAAAGCTGTGAATGAGGATATTGCATCATATTCCAGTGTTCGCAATAGTATGTAGACTGAGGAGCTTTCAGTCTGTGTCCAAAAACTAAGACAACTTTGCTGTGCAATGTGACTCATTGTGAAAATATGCATCCACATATGCTTTTCTCTTTTTAGCATTGTTTTAAAGGTCACTGTATCTGGTTAACTCCAGATATCTTGAAGCAAGATGGAAACTGGGGGGCATGGAGTAAATTTGGTTCCTGTTCTCGAACCTGTGGAACGGGAGTGAAATTCAGAACACGACAATGCGACAACCCACAGTAAGTTGGACCTAAGTAAGCTGAAGACCAGGAGCGGGTGGCATGGGGTGGGGATGGCTTCCCATGTCGTCGCTCTCCCAACAGCAACGTCTGTGGCCCTTATCAGAATGAGCAGAGGTGAGGTGTGGGCTGTGCAGCCACACTGGGGAGTCAAGTGCAGTGAGTGGCAGCAATTCTGTTGTTGGGACCACGGCGGTGCAGAACTGCCCTACCATGCCTGCCACCTCTGCTAAAGAGGAGGAGGAGGAGGAGTTTGGATTTGATATCCCGCTTTATCACTACCCTAAGGAACCACCCAGCAGCTGCAAGTGGAGGAGCGGGGACGTGAACCCAGTTCACCAGATTACGAGTCTACCACTCTTAACCACTACACCACACTGGCTCTCACACCACACTGTTTGTGAGAGACACACTGGCTCTCACACTCGCACATGTGTAAGAGACACACTGTTAAATTACTTTCAGAAATGCACAGAAATAATTGCTTGAGACTATGTTTCATCCTCAGATGGGTGAAATAATGCAGACCATTGACTGTATACTGGATTAGGAATTCACCATGGCCCTCATGCAGGGTTCTCTTGCTATGCACATAGCCATAGCTTGCCTTTTTTTGGCTGTTGCTCAAAGAGGCAGTCTGTACCCACACGTAAAATAGCTGGAATAGGATTACAAATTGTCAGGGACTGGGCAGAGGAGGAATGGTGGAGACCTGCCTGACCCTTCCAGAAAAGAAGACAGGTCAGAATTACAACAGGGGTTTGAGAGAGATCTCAGCTCAGAAAAGTTGGGGACTAATGGGAGAGAAGGAGGAGGAGGAGGAGGAGGAGGAAGCACCAGGGGAACAACAGCTGACAGACTTGGTGTCTTTAGAAAGCCCCCCCCCCCACAGAACATGGTAGGCCTTGAAAGTGGGAGAGCAAAGAGCTCAAAGGCAGAGGGACTTTTCAGCACCCGTAATGATGACTCATGAGGAAGTGGAAGAGACGGAGGGGATGGAGATTCATTTGGGGCAACGCCATTATTCTGAGAGGTTGCATTCCCAAGCCTCACTATGTGAATATTGAATAAAAGCAGATGGTAAGGACTTTTCCTTGTCTTGTCCCTTCCTGGCAACCTGCTGTGGGGGTTGGTGCCTCTGCCGCCTGACACAAATGCAGTTTGTCGCCATTGCTGGTGTAAAAAGAAAAGTAGAAACTCTGGTTATGCGCATGCAGGATTAGGTACTTGCGGGACTGAAGCCATTAAGTGAAAGCTTTTCCTGGTATTTGGTCATACTACCAAGGAGAGAGAAGAGAAGAGAAGAGATTAAGGGTAGCATTTAACTATCCAGCACCAGCAACAGAAGCACTGTGCAAGGACTTCTGCTTACACAACAGGAGCCCCATTGTGCAAATGGAAGTCTTGCAATGCATGTGCAGATGGAACAACTGGAAGAGTGTGGTGCTGAATTCCACCCTAAGTATTTTTATTTTTTTTACTGCTACTGAAATGGGACCAGATATATATATATATATAGGTCCCATTGATTTCAACACTGTTGTGATTCAATATCTCCACGTGTAGCTTGCTTTTGTAGAGTTGCCTCTGTTAATTTCAGTGGAAGGAGCCAATCTACTCCTGCAGTTGATCTCTGAGGCTCCAAATATGAATTCATTAGTAATAAGATAATTTTATAAGTGTCACTGACGTGATATTATTTATTAATCTGGTTTTGTTCTTATTCCTAGCCCAGCTAATGGAGGTCGTACATGTTTTGGACCAAGCTATGAGTTCCAGCTTTGCAGCACAAACGATTGTCCTAAAGAGAATGAAGATTTCAGAGAGGAGCAGTGCAAACAGTGGGATCCTTATTTTGAATATCAGAACAAGAAGCACCATTGGCTTGCATATGAGCATAGTGATGGTTAGTACACCACTTCTCCTTCTCCTTCTCCTTCTCCTTCTCCTTCTCCTTCTCCTTCTCTTCTTCTTCTCTTCTTCTTCTTCTTCTGCTTCTGCTTCTGCTTCTGCTTCCTCCTCCTCCTCCTCCTCCTCGTGTTATTGCTTTGTTAATGGCCTTGGTTCCAGTCTGCCATATTTGAAGACTGTAATTTCCAGTGTATAGAAAATATTACCACCCATTGGTTATTCTGCCAAAAGTCTCAGCTTCATTTGGAGAGGGTGGGTACGTCGTCAGCTCCTGTGTTCATACATTACTTTGAATTTTGTGCATAAAGTATGCATAAGCATACACTACTGCAATGGCACGTCAAAAAAGTGGGTATAAATTTGCTTTAGTGGGTTGCCAAATTGATCAGGTACCCTATAAACAGCCATACACATATTTATGATCTTGAGTGTGGTCTAAGGTTACCAGATTTTTTTCAATGAATCTGGGGACACTTTTCAACTTCCTACTAAATAGATAGATTTTGTCAGGGGACTGATGTGCAAATCCGGGGACTGTCCCCGGGAAAGGGGAATGTCTGGTAACCTTGGTGTGGTCCACTTCTGCTGAACTTAGTGGGAACCCTTCTACATGGATCTCAATTCTACTGTTAGTAGGTTGATTGGAATTTTTGGAAATCTGCATATTTTTATTCAAAGATCATGATTTTAACTGAATTGCCTTCTGCAGTCTGATCGGATAAGAACCATCAGTTGAAGAGATAAATCACAGGACTCTTTTCCCTTGTAGCCAAAGAAAGGTGCCATCTCTATTGTGAGTCCAAGGAAACTAATGACGTTGTGTATATGAAAAGACTGGTGCATGATGGAACAAGGTGCTCATATAAGGATCCCCATAGTATCTGTGTGCGAGGAGAGTGCCTGGTAAGTGGTGGCATCAATTCCTTTTTCCAGTTTCTTATTTGCAAGAATGAGTATAATATTAACATTTCAATGGGACGCTTTTCTCCATGACGCATCTACAAATAAGTAGTCATTTTAAGTGTAATCACTGAAGTTTACTAAAAATCAATCCTGCCATGGTTCATTGTTTTACTACAGTCGCTGAAAGGTTACCTGCCTAAGAAGGATGGAGTTGGGTTTGGAATTGGGCTGAGAACCATTCAGACATGCCTAGTACCTTTGCAAAGTGTATTCAGTATCTAATTTGAGAAGGCTCTTGAGCATACAACTAAATTGATTTCTGTTCAGGAAAGCACCATGGTTGCAAGCCACAGTCACATGTGGCTTGTCATACATATGCAAGATTTTATTAGCTTCTCTATCCATCTACTAGACCTCCAAATGGCTTCTTAATCTCCTCTTAGCTATTGGAAAAGAAACACCTGGAGGTCTTTGTACTGGGGCTCTTCGCCATAGCGTGTGACTAGAGGCCTTGTTCATTTCTGGAGTACCATTTCTTCATGAGGGGGGAGAGAAATGTGTACTGTTGTCTTCAGTGTTATTTTCTGAGCATGAATTGCCAAATATTTATGTGAATTGGATTAAATGCCTGCAATATGCTCAAATCCTGAATAGCAACATGTACTTGAAATCCTTTGATAATGAATTAATATCAGAGTTCAGTTAAGCAAGCAGTTAGAAACCAATTTATCAGGGTGAAATGTCATTATAAAAACTCATGTGGATATCAACATGCCCTTTTAGGAAGAGACAAATGTGCTGTTTATTATATCTTTGTCTGGTAAAAAGAAAACCCGGAGGAAAATGCAGGCTCTTACAAGCAGGAGTAATTGCTTTTCATTCTTTGCAGAAAGTTGGCTGTGACAAGGTAATTGGCTCGTCAAAGCAAGAGGACAAGTGTGGTGTGTGTGGTGGAGACAACGCCCATTGCAAAGTGGTGAAAGGCACATTCTCCAGGGCACCAAAGAAGCAAGGTCAGTCCATTTTCAGTACAGTATAGCGCTCCTGCCCCAAAGAAGCATGCAGGAAGATTTCAGAAGGACAGAGTAACTTTGTTTTTAACATCACTTTTCCGGTGCTGCAACAAAGCATTGTGTTTGAACAGCTTCTGGTGCAGAACAGCAGAGGTACTTTCCTGGAAGTACTATGGCCTACACCAATAGGGCCTATGGGGTGTGGGGGTGTGTGTGAACCCATTTGTGCACTTAAAAAGGCTCAGTGGATTGGGGGCTTATAGTTAAATCCTAGATATGTCTACTCAGTGGGCCTTACTTCCAGGTAAGTAGAGGCAAGGTTGTTCTTCCTTCTTGGTCTAAACACCTTCCACGGGGCTACATTTGTACATGTCTGTATTCACTTTTTGTACAACCTTTTTAGACTTTGATCTGCTTAGCTTTCAAGTGAGCCAATGGGCAATTTAAACATACTTTGTTTATTTCAATGAATTTAAAGGCACTTCAGATATATACATATGGTCTCATTTTTGAGGAAATCCTCTACAAAGAGGCGTTCGATACTTTAGAATACAAATCCGTGTCATAAAATCTCATAAAACACATAGTCAACAACAGGGGTGCCAGCTGGGGCGGAGCCTGAGGGACCTTGCCCCCAGAAGGATGGCTCAGTATTCTGGTCCTCTTTTCCTTTCTCTGTAATAACAACAACCTGCACTGGTTTAATGTGTCCCTACAGGTTATATCAAGATGTTTGAAATCCCAGCAGGTGCACGGCACTTGCTAATACAAGAATCGGATGCCTCCATTCATAATCTTGGTGAGTATTACATTATCAGCATTGTTCTATCACCATCTTTTTCTGTTGTTGTTGTTTAGTCATTTAGTTGTGTCCGACTCTTCGTGACCCCATGGACCAGAGCACGCCAGGCACTCCTGTCTTCCACTGCCTCCCGCAGTTTGGTCAAACTCATGTTTGTAGCTTCGAGAACATCGTCCAACCATCTCGTCCTCTGTCGTCCCCTTCTCCTTGTGCCCTCAATCTTTCCCAACATCTTTTTCTTTACATTTGCTTTTACTGACAATATGAAAATATATTTTGTCTGTTTAAAAAATAAAACCAGTCAAGAGAATAATTTCTCCTTATGAGAAAACTAATATTATGACAATGAAATTGCTGCATACCACCCCAATCTCCAAGTGGTCTGAGATTCCAGAGGTTCCAGGCAGTTACCTAGAGTTTGGTTTCCTTGGAATGAGGGACAGTGGAGACTGTGGTGTCTTTAGGATATATGGTTTATTTACACATATATACAGTCATTTTGTCACCCCTCCCAGTGATGACCCCCAGGGTGGCCCGCACCCCCACACCCCCTTCCTCCGCCACTGCATGCAGTTTCCATATTTATTTGTTACAGGGAATGTGCTTCCTAGGCAATGGGCTCCCAGGTTCTGCTTTTGCATATGCCTTTATAGCATCCTGGTGCATTCAGTTTCAGATTCAGAGCCATCCATCACAAGGATGCTCAATCAATCACAAAGCTTAAACAGTAATTGAAATCCTCTCCTTCCAATTCAGCAGATCAATAATAGACAATGTCTTGCAGAATGTTATTAATTAGAAGTGGATTCACAACAAATAGCCTCGTAACTGCCATGAATCACTCCCCCCCCCCCCGTTGTACTTTAGTAAATGCTTCCCTTGCACTGATGTTCCGCGGAGCCTCGTGGGACTCATAGCATTCTTTGTACAAACTTATTCCTTATGCTGGGCAAACTGTTTCTGATGAAGCATGGGCAATATATAAACCTCCGGCTTTTAAAGCCTGGTATCGACCCTGACAGCACTTTAGGAAGGGATCGCAAGAGACACGAGGGTTGGTCCCCCCACCCCAGAGCAACAGAGAAGGCAAGGCAAGAAGTGTATGAAACTTTGGAATTATTATTTTGACAGTCAAAGTAGGAAGAAAGATGAAAGAGGACTTAATTATTTTTAGAGATTGGCCAGGAAATTTGGCTGTAGCAAGGTTCAGTAGCAAAGGCTGCAGCAACATTTGAAGTGCAGAAAAGAGATAGAGTGAGACGGTAGACCCCTCAAGTTCAAAGGGGCCTCATCTAATCCAGTCACCTTCACAGAGGAATGATTTGCTGTACTTAACATCTCAGCCAGATGATTCAGCTGAAGCGATTTCCTTAGGTAATTGATTCCATTTGCTAAGTTCTTTCTGAAGATTAATAAAACTCAGAGGCAGCATACGCAGTGTCAGCCTGCACACATGTAACCCATTTGCAGTCTGCTAGCCATGTAGAGCTTATAACCAGGATGTCATTAACCTCCTGTTTTTGCCATCTACCTGGGGAAGCTAAAACAGGGAGCTGTCAAACACCTCTCAGGCCAGAAGTTACCTTCTTGCAACGTTAAGCCATTGAGCCAAATTCAAGCACAGGGATATATCCTTAAATGGGGTGCATATGGAAAACTGCTCCCTCTTTTGAAGTCAGTAGGGAAGCCCACCCAGGCACAAACTGAGCATCTGAAAGCACATGGAGCTGTGGAACAGAAACATTTACCTAGAATAGCATGTGTTGGCGTGTCTTGCTGATTCAGTTTCAGTTTCTCATCCAGTATAAGGCCTTCTCAGTGATGGTGTTGGGTAGTCCTCAGTTTGAACCTGTGCATTTGTTTGTTTGTTCCTATGTGTGAAATTTTCAGATTTCAATCTTATATAGATTTACCGCTATGAGACTTAGTTCTGAGTAGATACATGTAGAATTTCACTGTAAAATTTTTTTTATGAGGGATCAAATGAATTATACATAGGACTAAGCTCCATTTAGGTGTATAGCTGAAATAGTTACATACTCCACCAGAAACGAAATGGAAGCATTGAGGAAGCAGTGGGTGTGGAAAGAGGTGTAGCAAAGGGATGATGGATCCACACCCCCAAAAAGCAGCGAAACATCCAAGTGGAGAGGTTTGGAGCTCAATTTCTCTCAACTCATTTGATTATCCCCATGTTGGTTAAACCTGAATTTATAGAAGGGAAACTTCAAGATTGGTGTTATTCAAGGATAACATTGTGTGCACTACACAAATTAAATGGGAATGCCAACAGCCACAAACACACAGTGAACTCTGGTGTGGACAAGTGTAATAAACTGTTAGTCAAACTCAGAGTAGACCAACTAAAATAATAGTAATAATATGTTCTACCATACTTTGAGAATGACTAACATGGAATTTTCTAAACCACTTTTTAATTATAGAGAGACCCCCACACACCAGCAAAGAACAGGTGGGTTTGTTTCCAAACACACTAAAGCCCCAATATGTGTGTGTGTTATATAGTGAAAAGAAATCAATCACTGCACATATTCTCTGGCATTCTTATCTTGTTACTTCAGGCATGAAGAAAACAAGATTCTAGGGCAGGGATCCACAGGGACAGGGGCAGGAGACTTGTAATGCAACAGGCAGGGCAATGCTAACAGAAATTCAGCTGCTTGATCTGGAAACATAATGCATGATTTGCTCTGTTTTTCGTCTCAGAGCTGATGTAAGACACGCCATTGAAGCAGATAAAAAAGACCAGGTAGCTGAAAAGATACTGGGGATGAAGAGGCAGGACAAGTATTTGTTTTGGTCTGTTAGAACAGAATTCACAAAGTAAAATAATGCACAATAGACGCCAGTTGTTCCTCGTGAATGTATTTCTTCACAGCTCTGTTATCAGATCGGTCCAGCTGGTTCTCCGATTCCAGGGCTGCAATGCAAAATCAAATGAATGGCATAACATAGGCTCAGCCCCAAACAATTTATCAACTCTTAGATAAAATAGCTGACTGCACTGAGGGCTTCCTTCCAAGGGAGAGGGCTGTGACAGGGTGCGAGAGTCAGCAGTGTCTGTTGTCTGATGACAGAGTCACTCCCTCTCGAGTCTGCAATGCCAACATATTTTCCTTCAAATGTTGGGGAGGCGGCGTCTCCATCTCTGCACACCATACAGAACAGCAGCAGCAGCAGCTCCTTGTGGTGAATTTTGCTGAGACTCAGATCCTTATGAGGAGAGGGCGAACTAGGCTGTATGCCTGAGATCCTTCAATTTCTGGATCCAGCAAGGGATTGAATTTCTGGCTCTGGGGCACCTCGTCAACTCCTCGTAGTTAGAAAAATAAAGTCCAAATTTGAGAGTTATTATTATTATTATTATTATTTTATTTATTTAATTCCTATACTGCCCTATACCCTAATTCCTATACTGCCCTATATGTGAGCTAGAAGCTAGAAGCTGGCAGGTTGCAGGTTGGGCTAAGGTTACCAGATTTTTTTCAATGAATCCGGGGACACTTTTCAACTTCAATGGATTCTGTATGGGGCCTGATTTGTAAATCAGGACACTGTCCCCGGGAAACGGGGACATCTGGTAACCTTAGGTTGGGCAGCTGGGAGACAGAGCTATGCCTGTTTTTGTTGCAATCCAAGGCTGTGACTATGGGGGAAGCAAGACCCTCTTGGGCTGATAATGCTCTGAACCCCTCCATCGTAGGCTCAGGTTATATATATGTGTAAATAAGCCATATATCATAAAGACACCGCCTTCCAAAGGAAACACATATCCTGGGTAAGTGCCCAGAACCCCAGAATCTTGCACTGCTTGGAGTTTGGGGTGGCATGCAAGAGTACAATCTCTACATTTTCCTTCTGGTCAGGCAAGATAGCACCACCTACAGATGGAATGGTGGACAGGGTTTGCCTTGCAGGCAACTTGGGTCCCTGGGTACCTAAAAGAAGGTTAGCTCCATATCAACCAACAGATGCTGAGATCACCTGACAGTGTTCTTCCTTGGATCAACCCACCATCCAAGATAAGGTGGGTGGTCATCAGAGAGAGGGCATTTTTGGTTGCAGAGTCCTCTCCCTAAAGAGGCCTGCTTGGCACCTGCTCTGTTGTCCTTTTGGCAATGCACACCTGCCCCCACCCCCTTTTTAAGGAGTTTTTAGATCCTAGTCTGCTGTCTTATTAGGTGTTTTTGTTCTCTTTTGCTTTTATGACAATTGTCCTTTACATTTTTACTCACATATTTATATAAACCAAATTGGGATCTTCTCTTTTTTTGTGTGTGAAAGGCAGTACTGTATATAAGTTCTCTAAATAAATCTAATAAATAAAGCAAGCAGACAGACCTCTTCCAGTCTCAGAAAAAGAGAGAGGGGGGCAGAGAAAGAGAGAGTGAACTGAAGTCTCTTGAAGATGTTATATTTGTCCTGTTATTTCTAGCTATCAAGAACCGAGAAACAGGGAAATTTATTTTGAACGAAGAGAACTACGTGCCAGACTCCAAAGTGTTTGTCAACATGGGCGTAGAATGGGAGTATCGGAACGATGAGGATAGGGAAATGGTGCAAACTATGGGCCCCTTACGTAATGGAATCACCGTTCTGGTAAGTAACTTGAAGATGAGAGTGTCTAGATTAGACTGAGTCATACGTACAGTATTTTATGGATTGCATCTGTTAGGACATCTGTTTTAAGAATCAAGGGCATATTTAATGGCAACAACTTTATATATTGCTACATCTATGTGTAGGGGTTTCAGATGTAGATGTCAAAAAACCCCAGACAAGCTGACTTACTTGCAAGGGAGAAAGCAGGTAGCAGGGGAAGAGCAACACAGCTTCCCAGGCAAATATACCTAAAGAAAGGCTGGGGAGCCATAAGAGTAAGGCCAGAGTCTGGCTGTTGCCCAGGCAAAACTACTACCCTGGCTGGGAGGATTTATTGAGCATTTTTTGGAGGAAGAGAAGTGGAACTATACTAAGACATGGAAGTACAATACCTCCTCTTCTTTCTCTACTCCAAGAGGTTTACCTCATTGTCCTTTTAGTGCCAGAAAACAATCTTTTATTTCCCCAAGCTGTCTTTAATTTGGGTGTGTGTTGTTATTGTATTTATTTTTAAATTGTTTAATTGTACCCGCAATAAATAAACAAATTCTCTACAGCTGTGGTAGCCGATGTGGTGCCATTTGGATGTTGTTGTTGGGCTACAGCTTCCGTCAGGCCAAGGCAGCAAGGCCAACGGTATTTGGAGTTGTGATCCAACACCTGGAAGGCACCACACATTGACTACCCTGGCTCTACAATTTTGAGTGTCTCCCCACAAGGAACAGTAGTGGACAGTCTCTTGGTCCTAATCCTGCCCATCCTTGTAGTAAGCCCTTCTTGCAAATTCTGTGAGAAAGGGACACATGAGTGATCTCTGGTTGTCATTAAAAGTTGTATATATCATAAGAATACAAGACTCTGAAGGTCAATCCCACACCTGGACTGGGAGAAAAGTTGCCCTCTATCTCTAAAATGTGTTCTGAAGCTTAATTTAAAAGAGGGGTGGGACCTGTCCTACTTTTCATGCTTTTAATCTGTTTTCAAAGTGCCTCTATGATATTCCAAATGACCTTGCTGAAAAGGTATGCCTTCTTTGTCTGACCAGGCAATTCCTCATGGTAACGTCAAGATTACACTGACTTACAAGTACATGATCCATGAAGACTCTTTGAATGTTGACAACAACAATGTTCTGGAAGATTCAGTAACATTTGAGTGGGCTTTGAAAAAGTGGTCACAGTGCTCAAAACCCTGTGGAGGAGGTAAAGAGAGGGTGCTAAACTGATGAATATGCATAACTTTCTGAGGGTTACTTAGGGGGGCAGTCCTATGCACACTTACCTGGAAGAAAGTCCCACTGAACTCAATAGGACTGTTTTCCAGGTATACATGCAAAGTATTGTACTATGTAATTGTGTATGTGCTCAGACATGCAGATGTATATCAACAGCAGAAAGGCCTTCACTGAAAATCCCCATGTTTGTGGTGATACCTGTAATGAATTATCCACCCATTGCAGCCCATTTGATTTCAAATTCACTAATGACAAATTTGTACATGTAAACTAAATCAAAGAGTAAATGTACCTGAACGTCCTCAGTTGTGATTTAATGGGTGGGTAAATGAATGAATAGCATCAAAATGCAGGTCTAGAAACACTCTCTAGACAGGTTATTTATTGCTTCTCATTATTCATACTGTATTGCACATTTAGAAAGCAGATAGCAGGTTGAATGCATGAGGACGGCTCCATTCAGTAACTGAGAGAATATAAATGAATGAGTGCTGGCAACATGTTTTAATGTATAAGCATTCCAGCACAGAATGTACACAGTAGCCCATAGAAGATTGAGCCATGGATAACCGCTAGTGGGTTCGGCTACCTGCTTCTGGAAAATGTATGCATCTAGATCACGGCCTGTTCATTCATGTCCTGGCTCCCAGAATTCTATCTGCTGTGCAATTTAGGACCTGTCTCAAGCTCTCTCATTCCACTCTTACCAGGGCTGCCCCACCTATTAGGTAAGGGGAAGCAGCTGCCTCAGGCAGCAGGATCCACAGGGGTCAGATCCGGCCTCCAAGGAATACATTGCCTTTTTCTGAGGTACCTGCAGCAGCTGCAATGTGCTCCTTGGAGACTGGATCTGCCAACTCTTCAGCAGTGGGCCCCCTGCTCCCTACATAGCGGCCTCTCAGTGAAAAGGAGACACTGCTGGTCTCCTCCCACCTTGTTCCCAATGTTGATCTTTATTCCCTATCTTGTTCCTGATGTAGTTCTTCATTCCCCTATTTTCCCCTTGTGAGCTGCGGGTGGGGCAGCATTTTGTGATTTGCCTCAGGTGCCAAAATGTCTTGGGCCAGCCCTGACTCTACCCAACTGTAACGTTTTCCCACATGCCAGGCAGTAGGTAGCAAGTACACTGGAAGATCCCCCATCTTTGTAAGTGTGGGATCTCTGGCACAGTTCAGACACTTTGTGTGTGTGGGAGCCCCAGGAGCCCCAGGATTGTGTGTGGGAGCCCTAGAAGCTGCAGGAAGTGAAAGAGGCCCGTAGCGTTCATAACATTGGTTTGTCCACAGGATTCCAGCCACAAGCCAGGCCTATGAGCAGCTCCCCACATTCCCATGGATGATCTCTGAGGGTGGTAAATAGGCATCTGAATCAGGCCTCCTAGCAAAACAGATAAATTTCCATTTTACCCCTAGCTTAATAGGTCTCATAGCAGGTTTCAGGGCATTCTGAGTTGTGTGGAATGCTGAAGATAACAGAAAGTCTCTTTCCTAAGGTCATCAGTTTACAAAATATGGTTGTCGGAGGAAGACTGACCACAAGATGGTTCATCGCAGTTACTGTGAGTCCATCCAGAAACCAAAGCCCATTCGCAGAGTGTGTAATCTCCAGGAATGTTCCCAGCCAATGTAAGCATTTCTTTCTACTGGAATAACTCATAACTGTTGCATAATAATCAAGAAGTGCCTGGAACTAGCCTCAAATGACCTCTCCACTCCCTTCCTTTGTGGCTGCTTTAGGTTAGAACTGCTTTCTAGCCGTCGTGTGTAGAATATTGCCCAAACAGAGTTATGCAATGATGTAATGTAATTCCCAGAATTTAGCTTGTTGCGGGGGAAAATTCCCTAAAAATTAATGATTCCCCAATTCCAAAGTAGATTTTGATTTGGGGGGTGGCGGCGGCAGCGGGGGGTAATTTCTGTTTTATGGATTGCATACCCATTATGGGCTGTTATTGCAGAAAATGTCAAAGACTAGTCCTAATCGAAACACCAATAAAACTTGCAGCCTAGCTTTTAAAGATGTGGGTTTGTTGGGGAGTGGGTGGAAAGTAGGTATTCTTGGCTTGCAAAAATAACTGTTTAAGCAATTATGATATTTTCCAATTTCATGCTTTATTCTTATTACAGGGTTTGGGTTTTTTGGGGGGAAAAGATATTATTTTTTAATAGCTTGGATTAGGATGGATGAGATACTGTTTGGCCCCATCCACCTAAAGAAATGCATACCCATATGCAATTTAAGAATGTATAAACAGTATTATGGATCATTATCACTTGTTGGATAGAGAACAATGAACATAATTCCATCACACTCTCAGATGCGCATCCAAGGGCACACCCAACTGAGAATGCAGTAATTCTGCACTTTGTTGCTTTAAATAGGGAGCAGATTCCAATGTGCTTTCACATTTGCATCCCCATTCATGTCTCACGCAACTAATCATGCCATTATTCTGTTTACGCTCAAATAGAAAGGGAGCCTGTTCATCCTTTAGCCGTTAGAAAACTGTATAATTATTTTGTGGGCATCACAACAAAGGAGTACACTGATCAAGAGCTTTATTTTTGTTACTGTTGCGGGATTTTGAAAGTGAGTAGTCAAATTAACAGAAAAAGGGAATGGATGGGCAAAGATAGCTCCAGCCTGCATTCTGGCAATTCTGTCCCAAATCACTAGGCTGCAAGGAGTTGGAATCTTATTTTAATTTTCTGTTTAAGTTTCTAATGCATCCATAATGCATAGTTTGTAGCAAGTAACAACAGAATATAACTAAAATTAATTAAAATTGTCATATGCTCTTTGGCTGGCCCTCAAATGCCAGCTCAGACAAGGGAGTCTTTACAGTGCTTCTAAAAATGACTCTGACAGGAGTTCCTCTGTAGTGATAAAAAGCACTGATAAATATCTCTATGGGTGGTATTCAGTTAAATTTTTACTCAGTGTAGATCCATTGTGAGGAATTCAACATAGTGATATAGCCAGTGCTTTTTTCTGGGGGGACGCATACCCCTAAACATTTTGTGAATCTAAGTTTGGCCTCATTGAGGGGCAGTATTAGAATATAAGTAGGAAAATGAAAGTACCCCTAAACATTTTTTAGGGGAAAAAAGCATTGGTTCTGCCAGCCCAAGCCTTTTAGCTTGCCAGATGGAACAATTCCCCCCTCTCCTCTGCCGGTGCACTGCTCTGTGTATGGTTCTCCAAACCTCTGCCCAAGCCAATTTGCGGGGGGTGCATGGGGAGGAGTGTGGGGGAAAGCTCCCTTGCACTAGCAGGATTCTTTGGGTTGGCTTCTGCTAGTGGCGGCACTTGTTAGTTGAATCTGGACAATGAAATCAATCGACCTAACTAAGGTCAGTGGGTCTACTGTGAATAAAATGTGACTGAATGCCCCCCTATATGTGCTTGTGGTATGGTCCAGAATGTTCAGGCGGTAGATGTTCCTGGCTGAACTTAAAGAACATGAGTAGGCAGGCTCTAAGGCTCCACACACCCTTGCTGGGAGTAAGTCCCATGGAACATGGTGGGACCTACTTCTGAGTCGACATACCTAATACTGTTCCCGCAAGGTAAATAACATCAAAGTCATTTTACATTTCAAAAAGATGACTTTCAGTTTTGCCTAGAAGACAGCAGGAAGCCAGTGCAAGCTCTGGAACAATCTGTGCAATGCCCTCTGTCACTTTGCACACCAGTGGGAGCTCACAAGCACTCATCAAAGATGTTGTGGGGCAGGCAGGGCCGTAGGAGAAAAGCTAGTAGGAAAGAGGTCCCAAACCATGGACATTCATTTGAAGGTCTTTAAAGGAACATGTGTAGGTTGGGGGTGGCACCTCCACCGTGATCCCAGTCCCTCCCCACAACATGTTCATTGTGCCGGAATTTAAGGTCTGAGAGGGCACCTTCTGGGCATTCCCAGGAAGACAGAGAAGTGGCCATTAGCTAGTTTGGCCCTAAATGATCAGGAGGGGTGTGAGCACCATCTACAGTGGGTGCTCCTGTTCACCCAGACCTCAGTCTGTTATTGAACTGTGTGTGCTCTTATACTTTTTCGGGTACAGGAAACTGGGCTAGATGGAGCCGGAGCCTGACTGTACATTCCCTACTATTTACTTGGCAAAGCTTCAGGGCCAGAGGTTTGCAAAGCTGGAGTTTTTAATGTTTGCATTTTTAGGACGTAATTGCCATCCTCTGTGTCACCAAGGCTGGCTTTCGGCAACAGCGGGGTGATGAATGAAACTCCTTTTAACCCTACTGGGAGCTGCAAGCGGGCAGCCCTGTCAGACTTAAAACTCCCTTTTGCATCATGGTGTCTACTGAATTTTGAAAAATCCAGAAAGTACAGAGGTTAATATTCTATTCATTAGCAGAGTACAGTAAAGATTTAGAAGGACTTTAGCACTGCTCCTGAGAGAAACACATAAGATTGCTCTGAAAGCTTTATAATGGCAGGACAAACTGCATTGCTGTGGCCCTCATTCTTTTTCATGCGGTTCTTTGGTTGATTGCTGAATTGCCGGCATATCCAAAGCAGCAAATTCATCTCTAAGAATTATGCTGCTCCTATGCCAGCATCTACCAACAACACTTGTTTTAGTGGTTTATCCCCCTGCTGGTTTCCACATGAATTATTTAGAACATTACAAATAGCTGTTGTTACGGAGCCTAGAAGGAAATTCTTTTCCTGTAAATCCAGCCTAGCTGCCACAGGCAAAACAAACAAAAAAAAGTTTCATGGGGAGGGATCTAGCACAATAATTCAGATCACTGTTAGGGTGCATAATGAGATCTCGTATCTTTTGTGCTTATGTAATAATATCTGTCGGTTTAATGGCTCAGTATTTTTGTGACCATGTGAAGTTTCCATGGTGAGCATTAGAATCCTTACGTTTAATTTTAATTTTTGGCAAAAGTTTAAAGTTTAAAGATGTCAAACTAGGAAGAGGGAGGGCCATCAAAATAGTTTCTAAACTACAGTTTTAAAAAACTACAAAGTATCGAAGAGGATCAGTGAAGCTCCTAGCATAGAAATTTTTTGTTGTTTCCTTCAACTGTCATAAATCAAGAATGGAACAAAATTAATAACTTGGATAGATAAGAATACATGCAGTGACAGAAAACAATTAATTATTCAAATGAAAACCAACAAAATTACACAGCTATAATGCCAGGATTAAACATTCTTAGAGACATCCCACTAGGTTTTTCTTCCTCCTCAGCTTGAGCAGTCCATGCTGTGTCAATCATTCCATCATAGCATGCCTTCAACTTGCGAGACAGAACAATCCACCCCACCCCCCAATCTCCCTGGAACCAAGCCAATTTAGGGGAGAGAGGGAGCTGTATTGTGCTTCCACTGACAGAACTCATTAGTTGAATCCTGCCCCAGATGTTCACTTCTAGGAGACAAGAACGCAGCTTCATTTGACCCTTCTGTTTCCTTGCCAGGAGTTTGAATTCCTTCCTAAGGCATGCGTAGAGGAAGACTGACTGAAATCAATGCAGCTTATGTTGGTCATGACTAAATTGTCCCATTGATTTCAACTGGTCCACTCTAAGCATGACCAAGTCTGAATCCAACTCCATGTGCCCTACATCAGTTGTGAAAAGCTCTCACATGTAGGTGGGGGATTAGGGCCTATAGGTTTCCCAGCTGATGTAATGCAATTTGCTCATGTGCATCCTACCTGATTGGCACACCATGGATATGTGTACAAGACGTGATGAGAGAAGCTTCCCTGAAACCATGACATTAAGAAATAGCAATCATCAAATTATTATTGTGTGACTTAAACATGTGCAATATAAACTCACCAGCCTGGACTTCTTTTTCATTGAACCAGATGGGTTACAGGAGACTGGGAACCTTGCAGCAAAAGTTGTGGGAAAACAGGATATCAGGTACGTTCTGTCCGCTGCATCCAACCGCTGCACGATAACACAAACCGCTCTGTCCATGCCAAATACTGCAACAGCGATCGCCCAGAGGGCAGAAGGGTTTGCAACCGGGAGCTTTGCCCTGCGCAGTGGCGGATAGGACCCTGGTCACAGGTAAGCAGGATTTTGTTCTGTCGTTGAAATTACATTTGGAAATGCCTATATTAATAAGGGTGGTGTCAAATTCACATTAGTGAATTGGTTGTGAGCCTTAGTGTTTCACATCATGGGGGGGGGACATCGAATGTCAAGATTGCACAAGATGCATGTTTGTTGGTTAACTTCCATAATTGTGCAGCAATATAACCATACTGTTAAAAACAAAGAATCTAGTTTGCCTGTCCCTATACTATATTTGCACTCATCTGTCATAATGCTGACAAAAAAGGGGGTGGGTGGGTGGCAGAGTAAGCAGGCAGTTAGGTGGGCACCCCAGGCAGGTCCTCCCATGTTCTTCCTGTTGCCACTGCCAGCTGACCTAGGTGGGTAGAAGAAGGCAAGAAGAAGGTGCTGCAGGCAGGCAGGCAATGCAGGTAAGCCAACAGGTGGAGCACTTGCTGCACTTCTTCTGTTGTTGCCAGAGCTTCTGCCACTGGTGGAGGAAGGGGGAAAGAGGGACTTTCCCCGTCAGTGGTCGCCATACCAACACCAAAAGGAAGCCTACAAAGGCTTGGCTGTGGTGGCAGGGTGAGGATGGGGACTAAGGTGGGAAAAACTTTCTCTCCTGCTTTGCCCTCCCACCAGCGGTAGTGGAAGGGTACCCACCTACCTGTGGTGGCAGCAATAGGGAGCATGGGGAAGTTGGGTGAGCTATGGCAGAAGGGTTTGAGAACAAGCTGTGAGATGGAGGAGGAAGGACAGGCAAGCTGTGAAATGATGGGGAGGGGTTTGGGGTGAGGTGTAAAGAGAGGGAGAGGGGTTAGCCAGTTTTAAAGGCAGCAGCCCCCTAGTGCAGTTATAAAAATTGTGTTTGGCTAACACCCAGAATGTTAGGTAACTGAGTCACAGGTGAGGGACAGAAACCTTTGGGGATATTCCCAGTACTACTTTGCACCATGTCAGGATGCAGTGAGGCTTCATAGTCCCAAAATCCTGGGAGCGGCTTTGTGGGCAAGAACTGGACCATGCAACCTGCCATCAAAGCTCATGATATGATCAAATCACAAGAATGCAAAACTGATCCCAGGACCAGAAGTCAGTGCAAGAGAGCAGAGACTACAAACCCATCACTGAGACTAAGGGTGGTATTCAACCAAACTTTACTTAGAGTAGTCCCATTGAAATTAAGTTGGGTCCATCAATTTCAGTGGATCTGCTCTGAGTAAAAAACTTGAATTCCATTCTGTGAGTGGAAGCACACACCAGGGGCTGGAACAAACAGTCAAATGTTTGTCATCAGTTCAATGAATTCAGAATCTGAAGAGGAGAGCATGTGAAGGCTAAGCTGTGAGGAGGATCACATCAAGTTATAGGGTCAGGGAAGCGATCTGGAACAATGAGCCACCCTGAGGGCAGTAGCCTACATAGCAGGGGATGCATGGACCAGCCATTCAGGATGCTAACTTACTGCAGAGTTTTGCATTTGCTGTACTCAGTTGCTATTATTATTACTATAATTGTTACAAACACTTCAGACAGGCAAACACCCCAAGTCAGAGCCCCTTGTGGGTTTCATTATGCACATAGAACACAAATATGCATACAGCTTACCTCTTTATTTCAATGGACATAGTAGGTCCACAGCAGAAAAGAAGCTCTCTGTGGTTATTGGAGCTCCTTTGCTCCAAAGAAATACAAGGCTCGCTTGTTGTAATCTAACATCTACCACTACCATATATAGCAGTTAGAGTCCACTTTGGTTTAGGGTTCTTGGTTGTACTGATGACGACAATGAACAGTGGTAAGTAACAATAAATAATCGTTTTCATATAAATCATGTTACCTGTAACAAATGCCAACTGCCGATAAATTAGCAAAAGTGAAGTTGACTCCTGGTTTCTGGTTTCTCTCCAGTGTTCTGTAACCTGTGGTAATGGTACACAAGACAGACAAGTTCTGTGCAGGACAAGAGAAAACGTTATTGGCTTCTGTAAAGAAGACAAGCCAGAGACAAGGAGGTTATGCATTCTACCTTTGTGTCCCAGTGAGTGCTGATCCCTCTTTTCTATTTATTTGGGGTGGGTGCTTTGTGACAATTGTGCCAGTCATACAATTAAATTTTGTAGTGATTTTTAGAATACAGTAAGCCCGCAACTTACGCACATTTAACTTCTGCGTGTTCAGCTTGGCAAAAGACATAGAAAGGGGGCAGGTGTCAATTTTGGTCCTATGATGACACTACCTTTCTACTGGTGTGGTACACATGCTTTCAAACAGCTCCAGGCTGCAACATTTTTAGGCATACATGTTGCAGCCTGGACCTGTTTGAAAACGTGTACCACACCAGTAGAGAGGTAGAGTCATCAGAGAACCAAAATTGTATGTGTGACAAATCCTTGAAATGGTGGGAAGCCTGCATGAAAAAGCATGTGTGTGATGCACAAATTTGTTCTGTTTTGTCTTGACTTTTCTGCAGACATTTCACCAATGTGATGACTTTGAGTAGAGGTGCCCAAACTGACATTATTTAAAACTAATAATGTACTGCTGTAGTTTTTCAAAAGCTATTTTCTTTCTTAGAATAGTAGCTACTAATTCTGTTCAGTCAACCAAAATGGTGCATTAAGAAGCTTACAAATGTGCTAATATTTTTTTTCCTTACTATGTTCTCTTTCAGGAAATTCATCTGATACATCAAAGAAAACTTACAGGATACAATGGCTGTCAAGACCGGACCCAGATTATCCCATCCAGAAAATATCTTCAAGTAAAAGACCCATTTATAACTCTGCCTTTGCCCTTAAATGCATGCCACATCAAATGTGGACTTTGCCTTCTGCTCTATTCTTCTTCCTATATGGAAAATTTCCTTGAATCTGCCAAGTCTTACCTTGGGCTGAATCTTTTTTTCCCTGCGCTGGGCCTTGGTGCACAGTGTCTTTCTTCTCTGGAGATTGAGTAGCACTTGCTGCAGTGGCGATCGTGAAGGTGTTGGATGTGTGAAGTTGGATCTCTTCGGTGTGTTGGAAGTCCTCTAAAAAGTGAGCTGGTATCAGTTTGCTTGTTGATTGGTGATGGTGAAAAAAGGCTCTTAACTGGCTCATGATTTCAGTTTGATGGTGAAACCGAGAACTTATTGTGAATGTGATCACATCACAATAATGACACCTTGTAGTGCTAAAAGTTCTCCTTTTGTCTAAAGGTCCTCTATCTTACAACAAGTTAGCTTCAGTGTTTTTGCAGGGTAGTCAAATGAAAGTGCTCATTCCATCATGGTTCTTTACAGTCTCATTGCTTATTAACTCATGCGTCACAATTTTTTAAATTCCTGGCTTTAACATTTTCATTTGTTTCCATGAAAAAAGTTGATATTCCTGTCAAATGCTGCTACTGTGCTATGCTTTTATTGAAGCTCTTCTACCTATATTTTTTCTTTCCAAAACCAGCAAGGGAATCTTCACACAATTTTGCCAGAAAGTTCCTTGTTATTATTATTTTTTAACACATATAATGCAAATAGGAAACCAGTATGGCAAAACATGTGGTCTATGCTACAGGTTGTGGTGTGCAGTATTTCAATATCATTGAGACAATATGACATTGTCGTGCTGTGCAATGTCAAGAATTGTTCAGCAGTGAACTCTTTATACATCATTGCATCCATCAGTCTTTTTTCACCATTTGCATGTTTGACTTGACTGGTTCAGTTGTGTGTGTGTATGTGAGCGTGCGCGTGTATGTTTGTGATCTATAGATGTGTCAACTGGCAAACATAACAGTGTGAACAATGACAGAATTACCTCAATTTTTATTGCTTTGTTTCATTTTGCTTAGGGAGAAAGAAACTACATTTAGAAAAATGCCTTAAACTTTAATTGCATTGGCATTAACCACCAGTTCCAGCTTTAAATATACAAATAGTGCACTGGTACCATGAATTGATATTCATGTACGGTGTTTTTACTTGAATGCTAAAACACTGGACGGACGTTTGCACAGTCGGGTGTATGAGGAAGGAAAGGATCACTACCCACCTAAAAGAAAGGGCCATTGCCCAACTTACCCTGTTTTAACTGGTAGATATTTGCTTCGGCATGTGTTTGTGCTGAAGATCTATAACTCGCTGTTCATAAAACCATTTATATAAACATCAAATAACAGGCACATATGGACCTGTGGATCATGGCAAATTGCTTGCTACCTTTCTCCACCAAATCATATCCCTTAGGAAGGTGGTCCTGTGGATCTTCTAACAATGTAGCACTTCAAAATTGTCATTATCATGTGATCACATATTTAAATTTTGCTGTTACTATAATGATTGCCTGCAACCTGTTCATAATTTTACATGGCAATGAAAAAGGCAAAGACACGTTATCTGGCACTAAATACTGTTATGTAAAATAATTGGTGTTTAACTGTTATCAACTTATTCATGACTGTTAGTTACCTTTAAATAGACAACTGTTGAGTGATGTTTCAAGCTATGGATGGCTATAGAGAATGGTGCAATAAGGTATCTGGGCATTTTGCACTAGATCTATATGCACTTTGGTTTATCAGGGATATTTTATTAGTGTTTTGTATGTATTTAACATATTATTAAAGATGTGCCAATTCAGTTTGCTTTTCAATATTTTTTTATGAGGCCAGTTGAAATGTGTACCAAAGTGACTGTGCAAATGACTATTTTTTTCTTACTGCTCAGTTGAAGACATACTTCCAGTCTGTCATGCATACTACAAAATAAAATAAGATGAAAGTTCAGCAGGTCTGGCAGTTTTGCTTTAGGAAAACAAAATAAACTTACTCTGACATATATGCAAGAGAAACAACCAAGAGTGCACCTTAAAGACTAAGGTTTATTGTGGCATAAACTTTTGAGAGTGCAACTGGGTTGCAGCTGACAGACATCTATGCCCCCAAAATATGTTCAAGACTCTGATTCTCTTGTTTTTGCTGCAACAGACTAACATGGCTATCCTTCTGGAGATTTCTTTATATAAAATGTAATTATGAATGGGAAGTATATTGACTGTGTCACAAGAGTCAATTATTTCATGTGGCTCTGTATTTGAACTGCATGTTTTGGGGAATGTTTCACTGTTGTTGAAATAAGGCATTTTTCTAAAGATGCTTTAAGAGGTTCTTACATTGAACAGCCAACAAACTTAATTTAAGTTTGAAATACTTGCTACGATTTACTCATCTTATAAATTTGGTAATATTCTAATCCTATTTCTTAGAATGGGTTTATATATAAAGAATACATGTTATCCTTATAGAACACAATATTCACCTTTATATTGTTCTCTCGTCCTCAAAACAAAAGGACTGATAGTTCATGTAGAAAGGGGCTAATTTAAAGTTGTCTTCTTTGTTAATCAATTCTAAATTTCCTAGACTGATATGTTTGCCAACTAAACACACTCATACCCTAATTTATTTAAGTAAAGGATGCGTGAAGAGACGCCGTGTATCCTTTCTAAAATCAGTGAATGCGTCTGCATTTGATCAGGTGATGTTGCAATGTGGTTGAGAGCCTGACACACATGCTGCCGCTATACCTGCCTGCAGTGCTGTTCTAATAGCCTTGTGATGTTGCGATGACATCATGGTTACTTGTACCCTTCCCCTTAGAACACTTGAAAATGTGCATTTGAAACCTCACGGGGGACCGATGCTGCTGGGAGGGTGGATTTCAAGCAGGGAAGTAGGTGGGGTTAAGCCCTCCTCTACAAACACCACTCATTGCTTCTCTGCTCCTTGTTGCCCTCACTGGAAGAACTTGCTCCTGCTCCAAAAGGGCCATTGAGCTTTACAAATGGATTTTTACCATTTGAGCCCTAGTATTACCAGGGCAGGCCAAATACGTTCTGGTGCTTGAAGCACTCCTCCCACTAATTAAGAAATGGAACTATCATCCTGGTGAGCTCCATGGAGGCTTCATTGAAATGGACAAGAGCAAAACAAGGTTCATTCAGTGAGGCTTGCACTGGAAAGTTTCTCAGGGGATTGTAAATCATGACATCACTTCCAACAGTTTAAAATCTGCTTCACTCAGGCTTACCTTATGTTAAGGCGGCATGGGTGCCCTCCAGAAGTAAACACATAAAGGGATGAGTGACAGGAACATATTCTTGAGCAGTATTGTGCATGCCCCAGGGTCCCTGGATTTGATCTCGCTGTCAGTTCCTTGTCTGTACAAAGGTGTTTGGAAGAACCTGCCTCCTGTTCATCGTGTATATAATAGGTGCAGGAAACACTGGTGTTAGACCAATAGAACAGCAGCAAAATGGCACCATCTACAGCCGTGAGAGAGGTGTCTGCAGGTTCAGGAGAACCTCAAGGTTTGAAAAAGCACTGAAAAAAACAGGGGGGGGACTCCTAACAGGGAAACTAAGCATGGGGGTCAGAAACCCAGGTGGGAAGGAGAATGGAATGGCGTGTGTTGAATAGGGAGCATTGTACATCACAACTGTAACATTTGCTGCCATGGTAAAGTGCTTTCTTTCTTTTTTTAGTATAGTATTTTCCCCCCTGCTTGGGATTTCTCCAGAACTTCTACAATGTATTAGCATTGACCTTCAATTTTTCACCACTCATTCTGGCCACTCATTCTGTACATCCCAATGCCGCTGTTAAATTCTTTCAATCCTAGGAGGCCATGAAGCAGAAATCCTTCTTTTGGGGCAGTTTACCAAATCTGCTAGCTGGATGTCAATATACTAATGTAAAACAAATCCTTGCTGTAATCAAAACAACAACAACAGGGATGCAATAAAAAAAACCATTTGAGGTTCTAAGAAGTTACCTGAAGTTTCCATTGCAGCCCCTGGCTAAGGAAAATCAGAGTCTAGTGGCCAGCAATATAGATTGATTGACTGCCCCTGGAGTTCTTCAACTTAATGAACCAGGAGTCCATTTTCAGTGGCGCAAGCTAAAGCTGGTTGTTCAGGGCCAGGGGTCTGATGTTATGGATACCATGTGAGAGAAGCTATTGGAAATGCTTCAGCATGGTGACAATGACATGCAACCCCTGCAGTGTGTCAGAGATGCTCATGAATTTCCACACTCAATGCCAGCTGCTGATACAAGTGTAAGGAAATTCTCCATATGATTAAGGTAATCCATCTGGTGAGTGGTCCCTCCCAGACACCATATGGATCCATTGCTACACAATTACATCCTATTAAGCAGCCATAATATATGTGAGTCTGAGGCCAAGAGCATCTTGAAACCACAACATTCAGGAATGTAAGTGGGTCCCCTTCTAATTTGTCATCACATATCATAAAGGTTGGAGGAGCAGTGTGTAAAATTCTGATGTGAAATTTTAGATCACTGCAAGAAATGGGAGAATGCTTCCGTCAAGGCCCAGTACCAGGTCTTAGTAATATTGTATACAAGAACCTCTAAGTCCAAGTTTGCTTGATTCTGACTCTGGTTTTATAGTATACACATAATTCCTGTTTTTCTCTTCCAGAAGAACGTTGCCAAGGAGACAAGTCAACGTTTTGTCGCATGGAAGTTCTCTCTCGGTACTGTACAATTCCTGGTTACAATAAACTATGTTGCAAGTCTTGTAAAATGTACAGTAACAAAACAGGAAGTGGAAACTCAACAGAACCCAACCATAGCAAGGTTAACGATATCGAAGAGGCTACCTCTCCCACACTTACAACACCTGTTGACGTTCACATCCCACATACCACTTCAGGCCCACCCATTGTTCCCAAGATAAGCATCACTGGTTCCAATGCAACTGAAGATCGGCCAGAAGGCAACATAGTAGATGTTCCGTATAAAATTCACGGACTGGAAAATGAAGTGCCACACCACAATATCATCTTGCGGAGGAGACCACCTTACGAACGGACAAGGAACCAAAGAATTCAAGAGCTGGTGGCTGAAAAAAGGAAACAAGAAATGCTCAGGAAATTGCATTAAAATGGAAAGATAACACAAAGTTGTTTTCCTCTCTTATAGAGAGATGCTACCACCGCTGCAGCAAAGCCCATGTCATCATAGAGACTTAGATACAAATAGTGGTGCTATGGCAGAAATGCCAAATGCTATAGCCTGCAATAAAAAGGAAATTTGGGATTATTTAAGTTAATATAAATGTTATAATGGCTAGGGTTACAAGGTGCGACAGATACTAGTGCAATATCCTCATAGGTTTCACTGCTACTTAGCGGTGGTGCCTCGCTAAGGTCAGCAGGGTTCTTTTGTGGGCTCTCTTGCGCCCTCAGTGTATGTTCTTGAGTCCAACAGAACATTTCTGGGGTGCACTCTGTAGAATTAAGAAGAGATTCTAATAGCTTGATCCAAATCCCTCAGCAATGTTTGGAGGCCTACTGACAGAACCTCAGCTTCAGGGAAGCACATGTCTGGTTTTTTTAAAAAATATATATATCAAGTCCTACCTATACTTATTTGGAAATAAGTTCAATTTATTTCAGTGGAACTTATGTCAAAGTCAGTGTGCTGGAATCTGGTGTGCCATTTTTGCCTGTCTTTCCATTGAATTAAATGGTGGTGCTACCATACTCAGACGGCAGCATAAAATGGGCTACCATGATATAAAGGACCTAATTCAGATCCTGTTTCAGGAATCAAGCATAAATCAAGCTTTCTGTTAACCACTTGAAAGACAAAAGTAGGTCAGAATTGATGCCACGTATGAGGGACGTGGGTGGCACTGTGGGTTAAACCACAGAGCCTAGGACTTGCCGATCAGAAGGTCGGCGCTTCAAATCCCCGCGACGGGGTGAGCACTCCCGTTGTTCAGTCCCTGCTCCTGCCAACTTAGCAGTTCGAAAGCATGTCAAAGTGCAAGTAGATAAATAGGTACCGCTCTGGCGGGAAGGTAAACGGCGTTTCCGTGCGCTGCTCTGGTTTGCCAGAAGCGGCTTAGTCATGCTGGCCACATGACCCGGAAGCTGTCTGCGGACAAACGCCAGCTCCCTTGGCCAATAAAGCGAGATGAGCGCCGCAACCCCAGAGTCGGTCACGACTGGACCTAATGGTCAGGGGTCCCTTTACCCTTTACCTTTAATGTACAAAATAAGAAAGCAAAAACAACAACAGAATGATAACTACTACATGCAGCACAAGTCAGACCAAAGTAGCTTTTAACACTGTTGTCCTTGTAGAAGGAAAATTTACATGCTAGTGTTGGGGGTTGCTCCAGTAAAAGGCATCATCACTGTATCTGCTTTTTCTCACACTTAGGGACCAATACATTCTTAACATTAATCAATATACTAGCCCCAGTCAACTTCAGCTAGAGGAGTAGCACACTAAACTTTAGCACCATGTTCTAAAATAATAGCATTCAGGAAAATATCTTTTAAATTATTAATATATTCACTCACCGGATTGAGCTGCATTGCCCCAGTCACCTCTGGTTCTGCATTTCATCATCTTAAATGCTTGCAATGAAATTACTACAGAGTTTTAACAGTGTGTAGATCATTTCCCCCAACTTTTACCAATACTCTGATTCATTTAAATGACTGGATTGCCCTTTGATTTCAGTTGGTGCTTTTTGTGTGTGAAAAAAAATGTAGCTTTTGCTTATTCCGGGGTTTTTTTACAGTGCAATGTTATGTAACTGTGATGGTGAACAACTTGGGTTTTCAGCCATTCATTAGGACAACTGTACTGTAGCAGAAGCAAACGCATGTCATTATGCATATATATGTATACACAGTACTGAATCGCTTAGCAATGTATAGTTTGACAGCCCTTTGAGTACTGGTTTCATCCCTCACAGCACTTTCAGAAAGCATGCAGCAACATAGTCGGTTTACTGCTCATTTTGATCAAAGATCAATGTACAGTCAGATCCTAAAGGTGTTTATTTGCCAGTAAGCCCAAGCACTGGGACTTACTTCTCAATAGGTGTGCCCAGGACAGCAACTTTAGATTGGTTATTCAAAAACATCCATGTTAATTCCTGATTAGGTATGGTCTTAAAGCTTGAGCCAGGTCTGAAAACGAAGTTTTCCCATCAATTTAACTTGATAGTGGAATAGATCACACTCCCAGGTATATCTGCTATTTTTACACATCTAGTGGCTGCTGGGGAAAATAGCTGAACACAGGGAAATATTTTGGGTACTATTGCTAGTAGTTCAATGGCTGCATGGACTAAAAAGCCTGTATGTGGTGTGTGTGTTAAAAAAAATATCTTCCTGCTCTAACTACCATGTTTATCTGAGCTGCTTAATGCTTACCAGTTAATGCAAGATTCTGAATGCTGTTGCTGCCTTCATAATCTAATTGAACAGCAGCTCATTAGTACAAGTTAAACCACAGATTTCAGAGGCAACTTATTAAGCAATTCAAAGTTTTCATTGGCATACCTTGTAGGTGGCAAATAGATGGTGGTTGTTCAAAATCATCCATGTTAATTAATGAGTAGATTCCATTTCAACCAGATCTCATGAGACCAATATCTGGTTATCATATAATTAGCCTCATCACTCTTTTACATTCACTGGGAAGAAAATTTGGCATGCTATTATATGATGGCATACAATATAGAATGGGTTTTATATTCAAGCAGCGTGAGTTCCCCTTTTAAAATGTATTGCTCCTGATCTCTAGCCACATGCAACAGCTACCGGCATAAGAACAGCAATGTTAGCCTGCTTCTACACAGGTATCTTTATTGGGATCGGAATGGTTGTTCTGTGAGGGAGGGTTCCAACGTACACTACTATTGACATAGCAGAACATTCTGGAAACAGTAAACATTTCAAGACTAGTACCAGGGCCGGCCCAGTCATGAGGCAAAGTGAGGTGATTGCCTCAGGTGACAGGATTCACTGGGGCAGCAGATCCTGATGTTCCGTAGCACCATTTTGGAGCCAAAATGTCCTGGACTGGCCCTGGCTGGCCTTCCTCTGAAATTGTAGAACTCATCTGAAAGACATAGGTTTGCTTTTTTGCCAAACAGTCTGATTCCACTTTCTCTTTGTCCCCCTTCATATTAATGCACTTTCATGAACACCTATGGTGGAAAATATTTTCCAAATGACAGCCTATTTAGTGGGAGAGGTCTTTCCAGTGTAAGGCCTGATATAATCTTAATCTTGCTTAATTCAGAAGTTAGTTTCTCAACCCCACCCCCTCAAAAAAGGGGGCAATTGCGTGTTCTGTTCTGTATATGTAGCATAATAATGTGAAGTGTCTGAAGAAATAAATCCCATGACAGCTAATTAATTTTATTGGAACTTGCTAATGATATTGGAAGCAATTAGGGGCATGTGTTAGTAATTAGGGACATAGAATTGCTCAGTTTTTCTGGAAAGGCTGCCACCCAGCAGAATGCTTTGGGCACAATATTATGCCATCACTTCGTGGAAATGAGGACAATTTCATACATTTATTTTGTTCCAAACAAATGGAGAAAAGTGGCTTTTGGTCTGTTTAGGCCATTATCTAGAAGCACGTGTGGAAGAAAAAAAAAGGGGGGGAAAGGAAAAAAAAGAAGCACGTGTGAATAAGGGCTTCACATGCCCAGTGGGTCTTTCACCTCGTATCATACTAACCCCCCCCCCCCTTGATGTATTATAAGCAGCTTTTAAAATGTTGGGGGCTTCGGTGAGGCAAAGAAATGAGGGGGAAGCCCAGCAAGGCACACTTGACAGAAAAAGGTAACACTGTGCCTATAGCCTTCATTAATGTGGAAGTCAAGCAACAGTGTATTAAAGTAGCTCCACTATCCTTGGTATTTCTCCCCTCAAAAATGGTTTCCCCATAATCCTGCTATGATGGGGGAAGGAGCATCACTGCAAATCATCTTGCTGTCCCATATTTATTTTATCACCTCACGTTTTCCCATCCACTTTCTTCCACAAGACTCTGTGATGCAGTGATAGGGCTTCTGTGCCTTTAAAAGTCATATGGGTAGAAGTCTGAGAGGCACAGCTTACCTTATAACTGAAACTCGGTGCTGGAAAGAACTTCGGCTGTTAGATTCGTGCCTATTGTCTTGCTGTTCAGGGCATATTAGACCTACAAGAAAGAAAAAGAAAGTAACTGTATACAGGACAAGTCCTACAGTGGTGCTGCCCAGTAACATTGGAGCACATTGCCAGCTAAATAATGAGAAAAGTACTTATTGTTTAACTCTTAATGGACAAGAATTTCTATATTTACAAAAATTAAAATGTGGGCTTATTATTATTTTGTATGAAACATATACAGATCTTTTCCTTCCTTGCTGCTTCCTCTCTTCCTCCTGCATCTGTAGTTTTGTATTAGAAGATAACTACCCTGACCAACGCTGGCCACGTGACCTGGAAGTGTCTCCGGACAGCGCTGGCCCCCGGCCTCTTGAGTGAGATGGGCGCACAACCCCAGAGTCTGTCAAGACTGGCCCGTACGGGCGGGGGTACCTTTACCTTTACCTTTTTTACCCTGACCAAGGCACTCTTTGTGACAGTATTTACTGCTACAGAATACCGTCACCTTTTAATTTCTTTTTGTATTGGCACCCTACAAAAAACAGCAACCCACAAAAGCACTGCCAAACAAAATCCCCTTTCTTTGTAGCTGTCTCCTAGTTGCTTTTTATAGACAGACGTGGCTGCCAGCATGTTGACAGAATGGGCTAATTACTTACTATATGTCTAAGCATACATACTAGATATGGAAGTGGAATGCAAAAAGGGAAACCACAAGTGAAAATCAACTGTCTCGTGCCTGACCCAGGCTGGATCTAGACACATCAAAGAAGTGTTTTAGTTAAACGCATTGGAAACTTTGTATGAGAAATCAGGTTAGCAAAAATGGGACTCCACAGCCCCATCTGGTGGCACATATATGCATATGCAACACATATAAATCACTTTTTCTTTACCAACCTGGCTGAGTCCTAGACTACTACAGTACCTGATTTCTCTTGTGCTGGAATAACTGGGTTAATTCTTGTTTGATGAACCTTTCATAATTTGTTGACTCTATTGTGGAGCATGCAGTGTCTTCTTTTTCATTATATACCAAGCCATCTACACAGTAGCCTAATGCTACTTGTTCATTTTAAAGCATAGCTACGCCTCTGGTGCAGCATAGTACTGTAGAATGACACAGCTCTTCTAACTAACACAGCTCTTCTTCTGGACCCGCCCCCCCCACCTTTTTTTTTTTTTTTTTGCTTCTTTAATAGCTGCTTGATCTGCAAACCTGAGCAGGCAATAATGTTTCTCTTCAGGCTGTGAAAGGCTTCAGTGGCTGGTTCCTGCAGCTCAAGGTGTTGCAAAGGAGTAGGCAGGGATATTTTTCTAGTTTGTTGAAACCCTTAAGTTCAACTGCCTCAGTAAGCGTGCTTCATGTAAATTACTGCTGCCCCCTGTTGTTTTATTTTTTTACCCCTGTTGAAATCTGGCTGTGGCTGCTTTGCCTTTAGCACCACACTGTTACCATTTTACTCTGTCTATCCCCATATATCAAAGCCCTACGTTTTAATGTACAAGAGTTTTCAAAACTAAGTTATTCATTTAAATGCAGAGTTTTCTCTCCTCAGTTAACACAGCCATTCAAAAGCTGTGCACCCACGGAGACCAAATTGGGGCCTTTAAACATGAGCATCCGACAGGTGTTAGGCCCTTGACAATCCTGTGCCTACTGGCTCATTATCAGAGACCAGCTGTACAAATGCACCCACATCCAAGTGCAAGATTCAATGTGCATTTGGAAATACAAGGAAAATGCTCCTTGTTGCCAGACAAAAGCTG